GGGCCCTCATTGTTCTTCACCTGACTTTGTGCAAAGGTCTTCTAACTGATCTCCCCGCCTTCAGTCTTACTTGCTAGAATATGACATCCTCTAAAACTGCCCTCAACATGCTTAACCTAAAATCTGAATCCCTGGAAGGCTTCCCAAGCTCCCTGGGAGGAGTGTCAGCTTCTGGGGAGGCAGGAGAGGATGTTCTGTATCTAGCCCTACCTCCCTTACCCTGGCTTCCCGCCTCTCCCCTGCTGCACTCTTGAGACGCACCTTGGTGCACCACCTAGGGTCCCCAGAGGTGCTCATGTCTCTCGCCAGCATATCTTTGTTCCTGCAGCACCCTGCCCCAGAACTGCCCTTCACCCAGGATTCCTCCACTGGCTGAGGGCTTTTTCCGTATGGGATACGGCCTGGACTTGTGGCTCTGGGGCCAAGCAGGCCCGAGTGGATACTGGCTTAGCCATTGGCTCAGCCTGAGCCTAATATTCTTATCTGTAAAAACGAGAACATAATACCAACCTTCCAGTATTTCTAGGAGGAATTAGAAATAGGAATCAATATCAATACGTGATAAAAACAACAAAAATACCTCATGGTAGGCCAAGTAGCTTTCTAAGTGCCTTACTCACATTAACTCACTTGTTATTCCAGACTCCGTTTGTGATTTACCTCCTCCATAGAGCCTGTTTTGATTTCTCAATACCTGTCTGGATGCCTTTGCTGATTATTTTTTTTCCCCTGGCTGTTCACGTTCCCTCTCTTTGCCCCACAGGTGTCCTGGGACATTGGCGTACATGGAACATGTCGGGTGGATTCCTTTGCTGGCTTCCAGGTGAGTTTGGCATTTGGATAAGACTGAGAAAGGCCAGGGTGTTTCTTCCCCATGCCATCCATGATCAAGCTGTATTTCTGGGATGGGGTGTGTCTCTCCCTGGATTAGTTTGCTGAGGCTGCTATAATGAAGCACTACAGACTGTGGTGTAAACAACAATTATTTACTCACAGTCTGTGAGGCTGGAGGTTGGAAGTTGAAGATGCAGGTGCGGGCAGAGTGCGTTTCCTCTGAGGCCTCCCTCCTTGCCCCATTCTCTCTGTGTCCTCACATGGGCTTCCCTCTGTGTCTCTGTGTCCCCATCACCTCTTCTTGTAAGGACATTAGTCAGATTGGATCCAGGCCACCCTGATGGCCTCTTTTTACCTGACTAACCTTTTTCAAGGACTGATCTCCAAATACACTCACTTTCTGAGGTGCTGGGAGTCAGGGCTTTATACGAATTTAGGGAAAGGGGACCCAACTCAGCCCCTAGTGATCCCCACCTACTCTGCAGGTGGCCCCTCAGCTGTGGTTCCAGTGGCCACTGGGCTCCAACCAGGCTGTTCTTCCTCTATCCCTTCAGGCCTACGATGGTTGCAGCTTCCCACTGTCAGGTCTCCAAACCCAGGGCTCCTCTGGGTTCTCTTCACCCTGCCATGCTGTTCATGAAGTGACTCCTCACTGAAGGTGCTTCAACTGTCTGTAGAGCAGGTGCAAGGTGTTTGGTTCAATGCCATCACTGACGATGCTCCCTGGCACCACTCTCCCCAGCATTCTCTCCAACCTCTCGAGCACTTAGTGTGGACTGGTAAACAGCTCCTGGGGATCTCCTGCTCCCACCTCTTCCCCTACAGTCCTGCCCCAGTTCTTCTAATGATGCTCAGAGAGACATGGGAAGCAAGGCATCCTCACTTGGCCCCAACCTACCTTCAATTTCTCCTGCTCCTGCCGTGCCCATGACCACTGACTCTCGCTTTCCAGAACATCTCCCAACTCCAGTCTTTGTGTGGCTGCTCACATCCCTCCTCCCACCAGAAGCTATGGTCACTCTCCTTACCTCCTGTTGGAATGGTACTCAGCCTTCCAGGGGAGATGCTCAAAATATCACGATACCATGGGTACTGACCAAACAAACAAAAAGCAGCTTGGAACAGGAGTGGGGTTTAAAGTCTGGAAGGCTCCCAGGTTATGCCTGTTTGACAGGGGAAAAGTAGGGGGAGCCCCAGAGGAGGGACTTTGTAATGAGGAGGGAATCTAGACAGCAAATATTTTCTGATTCTGTTGATCTGTGTGGCTATGAAAGATCACTTAATGCCTCTGTTGCTAAGTGGCTTAGACTAGAATCTGATGATCTTCAAGGGCCTTTCAAGCTCTACAATTTGATTTTCTTCAATACATGTCAAATTTGATTTGCTCATTTAGCTCATTACCAACCATCTATCTCTTGAGGCTGGGTTTTTCTCAAGAAGAAAAGGTTTCCCTTCATAGGCAAAAAGTTTCCCAAACCTGTATTCATAGAATTCTGCCACTTTTAAGAATTTGTACCCTTTCTGAATTCAAAGGCTTTTCTCAGAAATGGTACTTGTGAAAATATAAAGGGAGAAGGGAACAGGGTGGGGACAGTGAAAGGTGGAAATTCATCAAATCAGTTGTGACTTGGAAGCAGGAGCACAGTCACATGGCCCTGATCACCACGTGGTATCAGGCACCTGCATCACTGCCTACATATGGCCCCTTTGGAAGTGATATTTCATAAACCAAGAGCTCCAGAATTGACCAAGACAGGCCAATTTTAAATTCTCTGCCCCAAATAACCAAAGTTGTTCACCTGGAAACACATAGACGTATGTATGTTTGAAAGAATGTCACAGAGGCACAGAAAGGTGAGGATGCCTGTTTTCACAGAAAGGAAGAGCCAGCTGAGGCAACTCCAAGCATATCTTCCTCTAAGTTCCCAAAGCAAGTTTTACAAACTCAGAGTGTACCTCATGACATGGAAATCATTTATGAGTGGGTCCCTCTTTCCCACAGACTTACAAAGCAACATCGAGTTAAGAGTGGGGCAGGTTTTTATTTCTGTATCCTCAGTTACTAGCACAATGCCTAAAACATAGGAGGTTCTCAATAAATGTTGGTTGAATGAATTAAAAAGGCCCATTAATGCTTGGAGATAGAGAATGTGTGCAGGGCTTGTGAAATCCGGTTACCTGGAGAGTCACCTGGGCTAGTGCCAGTATGGAGAAGACTTATGAGAGGGGATTAAAAATGATTATCAACACACTGATGCATTCAACATCTCCATCTTATGAAAATCTAACAACTTTTAGGAGGCTGTCCATATCCTTTTAAATAAATACTGTTTCAAGCATTGTGACTACCTCAATTAAATGTTATAAGAAAAAGTTATTAGACTCTCATAGTTACTGTTAGATGTTTTCCAGAAAAAATATTCAAATAGAACCTGATACCTTTTTGACTTGTTTTAGAAAAAGATCAAAATGTGTTTCTCCATAAATAAATATTGACATTGACTTTTCCTCAGCCAATATTTCCCTTCTGGAAAGCATCAATTGCCTGGTCCAAGCCTTGAGTAGAAATTCATTCCTGCCATGTGTTCCATGCGTGCCTGGCCCTGCCCAGCAATGGGAGACAGCTGCTCTCCTTCAACATCTCACATGGGAATTCTTTGTACATATACAGGATGGTGCTTAAATGCTCATTGTCTTTTTCTTATTAAAGCTAAAGTATATTTCACCAAAATATACCACAGTTGTAGGATAACAAGCTGTCCCAGATTTCTCACCATTAAAGGGGTTCCTGGGACACAGAACTTTCAGTTTCAAAATCAGGAAAATCCTGAGCAAACCAGGATAAGGTATTCACCCTATAGCATAGAGACTTCTATACCAAATCAAAGAACTAAATTATGCCCCCTTTTACTTTGGTGATTAAACATTTTAGAAATAAGAAATTCTACCAAGTTAAATAGAAAGTAACTGATACAACTAAAACCATCTATCTCTTTAAGAGAGATGACCAAGAAGGCCGAGGGATGATTAATGTTAAGTCTGTGAAACAGTTGCACTTCATCCACAACCAGAAGAGAGCATGTTCTGTTTCCAAGGAGTTTTCTGCCAAGCACTTGATTACACGTCTTACTTCCGCTGCCCTGTGATACTCAGATATATAATGCTACCAATTAGAATCAACACATACACTAATCTGAAGTTCTAGAGTTGGTACTACTAAAATAATAATAATAATAATAATAATACCTTTACACCAAAAAGAAGCTTCATAGCATGGCTTGAGTAAAATGCCAACAATGCTGAGAGCTTCCTGCTTCTTTGACATGGTGGTTATCGCTGCAACAAAAATAGTGAAAATTTAAAAGCAAAAGTTTATCTTAAATTGTACACATTTTAAAAAGCACTACAGTAAGAAAAGATGTCCACATATCTCTCTGTCTTCTAAATCAGTTATCTCTCTGCCCATCCACTGCACCTGCCCACTTGTTAAGCTGCCCTGTAACCCTCAACAAGCAGGAGGGGAACTGCCGTTTAAAAGTGACAACATTTTCTGTCTGCAGAGATAAAGATCTCATCTCACCTTCAAGACAGACTGTGCCTTTGCTTGGGAAACGTTACCATCATGGACACTTTAATTACATTAGAGGTAAGATAAGTACTGTTTTGTATTTTGGGGAGGGAGGACAGATAAACTGTCGTCACTTAAGCCAAATATAAATGTTTTTAGATTGAGACATTGTTCCAGTCTGTTCAGTAATGTAAACTGTGCACTGATGAAACAGGGCGAGCTTAGCCCCAGACTTTTCTGCCCCACTGTTTTTTGCAAGGGGCATATGACAGATGAGAATGAAATCTATCCCAACCTTGTGTGACGATGCTGCAATTGCTTGAGCTTCTTCCCAGCAGTTGGCCTCATGGTAGTTGTTGCTTGCACGGGCACGGTGGCTCACACCTGTTATCCTAGTACTTTGGGAGGTTGAGGTGGGTGGGTTGCCTGAGCTCAGGAGTTCCAGACCAGCCTGTGCAACATGGCAAAATCCCATCTCTACTAAAAATACAAAAAATTAGCAGGGAGTGTTGGCATGTGCTTGTAATCCCAGCTACTGGGGATACAGAGGCATGAGAATCACTTGAGCCCAAGAGACAGAGGTTGCAGTGAGCCAAGATCATAATACTTCACTCCAGCCTGGGGCACAGAGTAAGGCTCTGTCTTTAAAAAACAAACAAAAAAAAAACCATAGGTCAAACTTCACTTGAAGGTCGATGTAAACATGGTATCCTGGTACCAGGTTGATGCTTCAGATGCAAATGTCTCATCTGGGCAAGGACAGCTCTTCTGCAGACCAAATGGTTTGTTTAAAAAAAAAAAAAAAAGCAAACTCTCTCTGTTGTAAAGAATAAAGAAAAAGATACTGGGTCCATCATCTAGCCTGAGGAACCTTTGATATGTGATACTTTTCTCAGAATTCACAGGGTTTTCTTGATAATCAAAAGAATGAAAAATATTAACACATGTAAACCCCAATGGAGAGTTCATAATGACAGTGTGATATCATGTCATATGAAACGGACTTCCCCTCTCATGGTAAGTGACATTTCTCATGGGACATTCCATTCTCTCAGGAAACCCCCTGCTCCCTGCAGCCCCCTACCCAGACATTTTTTTAGTGTCTTCACATCCAGTTCAATTTCAGTTTTGCATGAAAGAGTGAATAACAAAAAACAAAGAACACCAGTGCAAAGCTCTGCACTAGAGAAGAGGTCACCAGTAACACTCAGAAGGCAGGCAGGAGCATCTTTAAGGAAGGCCACCTTAGCCCAGTCACTTCTTTGAGATGCGGCGTCCCTTGCCATCCTCCCTTCTGTCTTCACTTCTGGGCTGCCCTCTGGCCCCTGCAGGCATTTGAATAAACAGAAATGTGCCTCAGAGCGGGTGGCTGACAGGGCAGGTGCAGTGAGCGCAGATGGTTGGGATCCTCTGTGCAGGGACACTTTGTGGCCATTTCCTGCTGTCCACAGGACTGCAGCCCACATGGTCATTTTGAATAGGATTTTAAGAGAGTTGGAGACCTCAGAAAGTGTACCACATACAAGGCAAATGGTAAGAGCTTCTAGGCATGTCTCCTCACGCCCAGGTGAGTTAGCCTGAGAAAGCAATGGCCAAGCTCTGGCTTACAGGAGTCCTGTCGACACTGATGAAAATGATGATAATTCCCCTGAGATGAAAAAGGCATTCATGGTTCAGATTTTGTCAATTGTTTTGGGCTGGAATCATCAACCATAAAATGTTGTGTTTGTTTTGTTTCGTTTTTAAACTGTGAAAAGTTTGAAGGGCCTAGTTGGTTGTCCCAGGTAGACCTTCGTTTGTAGAGACAGGGAAGTACATGGGCCAAGTCAGACCATTCTACACACAGAAAATAACCACAAGCAATTTACATGATGGCCATGCATAAGTCAGGCATGGTCTCTTAACCAAAAATCAAAGAACACCACGATGCCAAGAGGCAGAACCACAGAGAGGACTGTGCTCTGCCAAGTACAGCTGTGGCTGCAGACCAAGGGGTGGGATACAGCAATACATGGAAGCATTATGTGCAAAGGCTCTCTCCTGTCCCTCTCCTCTCCAACCCCCCCTCTCTCTCTCCCCCCCCCCGTCTTCTCTCTCTCTTTCTCTCCTCTCTCTGTTGAGTATGTCCTATATCTGTTTCAAAACCAAAAGACAACAGGACTTTGGTTACTCCTAGAGAGCCATCTCACACGGAAACTACATTGCTCAAGAAAAAAGAAGATGGGGCGATGCAGCATTGATGGTGTCTCGGCATATTAAAAGGATAGATTATTTGTGATCCTCATGCCTGGACAAATTCAGATTCAACAGCCTCCCAGATGTGTTTCTTTCCTAAATTGACAAACATCTACATGGTTCCCCACAGATTGGGAACCACCTTAGATTGATTAACAACTGGCCCCTGCCCTCAGGCAGCTATCATCTGGGGGAAAACAATAGTTGTCCTGAGAATACACAGACATACATGTTAGGATAATAACATGTTAGGATAATAACAATGTGACATCCAAATTTTAGGAACTAGGGCTCTGTCTTCCTTTCCCTTTGCTTGACACTGTTTTATAATCTGCCTGATAACTTCATTCCTGCAAACCTCTGCCAACCCTCCCAGGAACTCTGTCCACAGACTTCTGTTGACTTCCAGCTAAATACCTGACAGCATTTTCCCTCTACCTGCTCCCAGATTCTCTGCCCCCCTGCTCACTTACCTGGATATCCGTTCCTCTTGCTGTTCTTCCCTGACGCCATACTCTTCAGATATCTGTGCTGAGATCTGAGCTCCCCAAATCTCTTAAGCGAAAGGAGGAAACCATGTTCATAATCATTAGACTGCTTGGAAGGCTGGAAATTGTGAGCTTTGAAGGGCTGTGGTTGTACACCACAGGGTCCATCCTCGTGGTCAGGGTCCTCTGCATGGCTCTGGAACTCATGTGTTCAATTGGGCGGCCTCTCTCTGGACAATGCTGGAAAAACAGAAAATGTTTTGTACTTTTGCTTCCTAAGTTCTAGGCTCCACCTTTTTTCTTCTTTCCACAATTCATTAGTTTCTAGCTTTCTTTTACTTTCAGTCATGCTTTGCCTAGATTGGCTCTTCATTTTAACTTCTTGTTCTCAATTTGTTCAGAATGAACAAGTGTGGCTTAAGAATTCTGCAGAGAACTAACATGATCTATTAGCGTACATTTAGCTGCTTATTGAGGAGGGGGTTGGAGACATTTCTGATTGTCATGACTGAGAGGGTGCTACTGGAATGTAACGAGCAGAAGTCAGGGATGCTTCTGAACATTCTGCAATGCACAGGACAGCCCTCTAAAACAAAGATTTATCTAGCCTCAAATGTCAGTTTTGCCGAGGTTGAGAAACCCTGGATTGCAATATGTTCAAGGGGCCAATTAAGATTACATAATTACTTTTCCGTTGGGCAGAGGTTAATCTCAATTCTCTGAAATTACCACTAACACCTACAATGATTTAGCTAACTCTAATGGTTGAGCTTCTGTTTGCGGGCTTTTACACACCGCCACCTTAAAGTTATTCCTCACTAAATACATTACAAACAAGATATCTTTAACCATGTGTAAGTATGGATCTGGCTAACCTACACAATTTGTAGACCACTCCTTATTTTGCACACATGAAAGCTTTACTTGTTGCATTGTTGCCCAAATTTGTGATGCTGGCAGTACTGAGAGGGGAAAATATCAAGAAGAAAAACGGAAGTAAAAATCTTACACAGTGTGAAAATCCACTGGGCTTGTGATGCCTTATGATTTTTATGCATGAGATAAAACACAAATGAATAGAGATGCCACTTTGGATGTGAAGTATGCCAGCTTTGTTGAAGAGTTTCCTTTTCTCCTTTCCATAGTCAAGAGCTAGAGAGTAGAAGTTACAGAACTGTAAGATATGAACAATTGGTAATTATTTTAATAAATAGAGGTAGGGGTAGGTTCCAGGGTTAGGGTGGAGGACAGTACAGGGAGTCTTGTGGCAAACCCCTCAACACCACAAAACCAGTAAGTTTTTTTTTTTTTTTTAAATGACTCTTCTGGCTTCTGGTGTTAATAGTCTCCTCTTTTCCCATTTAACCAGAAAGAAACATTTTGAGATTTTGCTAGGAGCTCTGGGCATGTGGACCCTTTGGGACCATACTAAATGCTAATTTTGACTGTAAGGAGGAAGCCACAGCAGGTTCTGAGCTTAGGGGGAACTGTCAAGCAGATGGTCCAAGCTGGAGAAATATATCTGTAAGAGGAGTATGAATAAGAGATGAAATATTACAAGCAGATGACAGAAGAAAAAAAATGGCATGAATTTGTCATTTATGGTCAAGTCCCAGTTTATGAACTGGTTGTGTTCTTAAATGTTCATCTGACTGTTGGATGAACAGCCCAAGAAGGGTAGAGGGCTGCAGAAGTAATTCATTGACTGCTGGAGAGAAGCTTCAAAAATTCACAGTTTAATGCTCTTGGTTTAAAAAGGAAAAAAAAAAAAATAAAGCTAGCTCAGAAAAGTTGATCATCTTGCTCAACACACTCCAGCCTGGGTAACAAAGAGCGAAACTCCATCTCAAAAAAAAAAAAAAAAAGAATTAGAAATAAGAGGCTGATAATTGGGATTCCCCAGGCAGTTCGCTAACCATTCTGTGCTGTCTCTAAGGAGGAAGGTGGGAAAAAGTTACATAATGGCAGTATGGAGCAGAGGGGAAAGGGGAGGCTGTCCAAGTGGCTGAGCCTTAGGCGGGAGAAGAGGAAGGAGTAATGGCGGTAAAGAACGAACACTCTCGGCCGGGCGCGGTGGCTCAAGCCTGTAATCCCAGCACTTTGGGAGGCCGAGGCGGGTGGATCACGAGGTCAAGAGATCGAGACCATCCTGGTCAACACGGTGAAACCCCGTCTCTACTAAAAATACAAAACATTAGCTGGGCATGGTGGCGCGCACCTGTAATCCCAGCTACTCAGGAAGCTGAGGCAGGAGAATTGCCTGAACCCAGGAGGCGGAGGTTGCGGTGAGCCGAGATCGCGCCATTGCACTCCAGCCTGGGTAACGAGCGAAACTCCGTCCCCAAAAAAAAAAAAAAAAAGAACGAACACTCTCCCAAAACAGGAGGCAGAAAGGGCACTCTGGGTCCGGGTCCCATTCGACCTACAGAAGACACACAAGCACATATTGAGTGAGGACTTTCTACATGTGGGGTTTTAATACCATTTGTTGCCCAGAAGATATGGTGTACAAGGGGAGAAATGGCAACAGATGGAGTCTGCAAGCTCTTTCCAAACGTTCACATTCCTCAGAATCTCACCCGTTTTCTCGGCCACAAGAAATTATTATTTGTCAAATATTTATAAAATCAGTATTTAGTGCTAGATTCTGTCCCAGGCCACATGGCTGTAGTATTGAATAAAACAACTTTTTTTTTTTCTTTAATCTGAAAGTGGCTGGCTAGTGAGACAGATGAAAGCAAATACATATGACATTTTCTGATCAACAATACAAAGTAACATGATAGTGACTGGAGGGCCAACTTGGAATTTGGTGGTTAGAAAAAGCCTCTTAGGGGAGGTGGCATTTGGGTTGAGACCTGAGATAAGAGGCATCTATGCAGAGAGCTGGGGGTCAAGGTGTCTGGATAGAGAGCACAGCCCAGCAAGCCTGACAGGTTCAAGGAACACACAGAACAGCATGTCTACAACTCGCTTAGCAAGGAGAAGATGAGGTCAGCAAGGGTGAGCTAGGGCACATCAGATTGATGCATGTACTCATTCAGTAAATATGTATTAAGCACCTATCTACTATGTTCAGGACATTGTTGAAGATACAGAAATTAAACAGAAAACCAGTTGCTCAAGGATTCTGTCCACGGAGAGAAACTTAACAATTTGGTAAGGTTGACAGAATACCCAAAACAATTTTGCTACATTTTAGAAAGTGTTCCACTCCACAGAGAACCACAATGCAGACACTAAGGGGACATACACCACCTAAGGCCGTGAGGTCTGAGGTCTGCAATGCAGCCATCTGTTCCCCCAGGGTAGGGAGGTCAGGCCTCCCCGGGGTGAGTCACGTAGCCCACCTCTCCCCACCGGGCGAGCCTTCTCGGTCTTGGTGGATGGGGTAGGGCCGCAGGAAATCCCCCGGCCTAAATCTGTCGTACTCAGAAAACCCAAGTAGGGGAGCCCCCAGAGACCAGGGCTCTGATTAGCACCTGATTCACGGAGGCAGCCAAGGCAGGGCAGCGACTGCTGGTAACTGGCCCCTGGAGTCGCCCCCGGGGAAAAGGCCAAAGGGGATCTGGAGACCCCCGACCTTGGAGCGCGTTCCGATATACCGCAGCCAGCAGGTCAGGGCAGCGCTTGCGCGTCCGCCAGGCCCCGCCCCCGGCCCCGGGTGTCCCAGCGGGGCGGCTCGGGCGGCGCATGCGCTCTGTGGTCCAGGGCTGGCCGCCGGGAAGCCAGAGCCGAACACCTTCCCCGTCCGGCGGTAGCGAGCCGGGGTCCGCGGGGGCGGAGTGGGGCGCGGCCTCCGGGAACCTGACTACAAGTCCCAGGGTGCGGGCGGGCGGGCGGGCAGAGGAGGGACGCTGGGCCTGCCCAGTGCGCACGGGGGCAGGGCCCGGCAAGGCGGGACCATTTCCCGACACAGGCTCCGGGGCCCTTGCAGTGCTCCCGCCGGGAAGTTCCGGGCCGCCGCACTGAAAGCCCTGCCTTCCACGCCGGGTCCCTGGAGCGCCCCGGGGCGCCGGCCAGTCTCTGCCGCTGACTTGTTGACACTGCCAGCACTCAGTCCCTCCTTCCCGCGCGCCTCCTCCCCTCCCGCCCCGCCGCTCCTCCTCCCCGTAGCATGTCATAGTGAGCCTGCGACCACACGGCCAGGGGCGCTAGCGTTCGCCTTCAGCCACCATGGGGAATGGGATGAACAAGGTAACGTCTCTCCCTCATTCGCGCTGGGTTTGCCTCCGCTCTTCATCCTCCTTTCCGGCAGGTGCCGGCCGCCGGTCCCAGCTGCCCCGCCTTCTCGCCGGCGTCGGCTCCCTGGCCACTCGAGCCCGGGTGTCCCTTCCCGCGGTGGGGACGGGCGCGGAGGGAGGGGCGGCGCGCCGGGGCGGCGTCTGCCGTGTCGGGGTTCCGAGGTGTTCCCGCCCCGACACCCGGCTTCCGGGTAGGCAGCCCCCCGGCACCAGCCTCGCCCTCTGGTACGTTTTTGTGGCTGAAACAAGCGGTGCCCTTTAAAAGCGTTGACACTTGTTCTGCCGGGAGATCAGCTGAGCTCGGAATGGATGTGGTTTCTTCTTTTTTTTCCCCTCCCTTCGCTACCAAACTACGCTCTTGAAGCATCACCCCCCACATCATTAGTAAACGGGCGTAGATGGGTGTCCTCTGTAATTTCCTCTTTCTCTTCAGATTCTGTGTGTGTGCCTGTAAGCGCAGATAAGTTTTTCTTGTGGACAGAGAAGTTAGGAGTCCTAAGTGTTGCTAGACGAGTGGGAAGGAGAGAAAAGATTCCGAGTTGATTAGGTTATGTGACTTCTGCGCCACGGGCAACCTGTTGCTGGCTGCTTGCGCTGGTGAGGCCTTCCAGAAAATCTGTGTTGCTCCACTTTGTCCCTTTTCTGGGCCCCAGCCTGTGTTCCTTGATTTGCCCGCTCCTCACTTCCCAGGCAGTGGGATAGCCTTTCCTGTCCTAGGAAGTTGCTGGATTCCGGGTCTTGCAGCTGAGCGTTGCTGGAGTGGATTCATGTCAACAACAAGGTTAAGCATTTCGGTACTTGGTACTTGGCTGGTTTCAAGGAAGGATTCACAAGACTTCACAAAGCCCTCAACAACCTGCATTTTTGCAGGTCTTTGAATGGTCCTGGATTAGATGAGTCGTCTTTCTGCTTCTCTTTTTCATTGTGCTCCACCCACCCACATGTCCACCTACTGTCAGCTTCCACATTGGGTGGGGATGGCGATGTGACTGTGTTGTTTTTCATGACCCTCCGCACTGGGTCTACAGTGGTTTGGGTCTTGGAGCTGGAGTATTCCAAAAGAGGATTCGGGGTTGGGAAGAGAAAATGCGGTGGGAGTCGGTAGGGGGAAAACGTGTCTAACTTCTCACATGCCCTGTTCTGGTTACCCAGTTTATGAAAGCACTATTGTGTGTTTGGGGCCTGCATATCAGTACTGAGGTATTTTGGTAAACAGAATTGTATTCACTTTTTTTGTTTTTTGGCGAATGATCAAGTTTGGAGACAGACTATCTCTCTCTTGGTTAAATACTTGTATTATATTCCCATGAGCACTGGAATCCATCAGCACCACGAGCCTTCTGCTTTTTAGATTTAAACAGAACAACAAAGATGGTCATCATAAGTTTATGGGCTCCATTTGGCCTTCCCATTGATGATGGTGATGCCTCAGCTTTCCTTTGTTATTTCTACAGTTTTTCCCACTTGAGCTGTTCACTCTCCACAGTTTTCAGCATTTAATTTGAAGTATTTGTGTAATACAATTCAAAAAATATATTTAGGAATACAGATGTTTGCCTAAGGGATCAACATTATTTTCATGCTTTTCAACAAAAGCAGTAATATTCATATCGTACTTTTTACCTTTCAAAATGAGTAATAAATTTCTTGATTATTTTATTATCTTGTATTGTAAATAGAGACTTTATCCACAGTGTATAAATGAAGAAATAAGCCAGGCCCAGTGGCTCACACCTGTAATCCTAGCACTTTGGGAGGCAGATGCTGGCCGATCACGAGGTCAGGAGTTCAGGACCAGCCTGGCCAATGTGGTGAAACCCCGTCTCTACTAAAAATACAAAAATTAGCTAGGCATGGTGGCATGAGCCTTTAGTCTCAGCTACTAGGAAGGCTGAGGTAGAAGAATTACTTTAACTGGGAGGTGTAGGTTGCAGTGAGCTGAAATCAGGCCACTGCCTCCAAACTGGTGAACAGAGTGAGACTCTGTCTCAGAATGAATAAATAAATAAATATGTAAAAATGAAAATAAATGAAGAAATGTATGTATAGAGAGATTTAGACACTTCACTGCTTCAACACATACTTATTATGTACATACTATAAGCCAGATGTTGTGCCAGTGGGTGGGGAGGGAGGAAGAGGGAGTGCAGTGGTAAATGACCCAAAGATCCTTCACAGAACCTTCAGTATAGACCAGCAGTTGTCCAGCACTAATATGATGTGAGCCATATATGTAATTAAAATGTTCCAGTAGCCACATTAAAAGATAAACAGGTGAAATTCATTTTAATATATTTTATTTAACTGAATATATTAAAAATATTGTTTCAATATGTAACCAATATATAAAATTATTTGTGGAAGATTTCATGTTTTTTACTATGTCTTTGTGAAAGGAAAAATCTCAGGACGCCCAGATCGCTTATATCTTCAAAGCCTAGCATGTATTTTATAACTAAATCTCATCTTATTTTGGACTAGTCACATTTGAAGGACTTGATAGTCACTGTGGCTAATGGCTGCTGTGTTGCACAACACAGGGTGTGTATGTGTGTGGGAGTGTGTGAGAGAGAACACAGACAAGGTAGGGAGGATTAGAGGCTCCAGAGGAGAAAATAGGCAATTTTGGAAAAGTGGGGAAAACCGAAGATGGGATGAAAGTGACCTAGAAGGGGCATTCAGCCCAGGCAATGAATCCTGCCGCAGTGGTTTAACGTGGGATCAGGAGGAATTACCCCAAATCACCAGGTTAATTAGTGGGAAAGTAGATTGATGGAGGCCAGTAACTAAGAGCCTTAGCTAGAACTTTTCCATACGTTACTGTGTGACTTGGAACAAGGCTTCATATTTTTCCCAACTGTAAAAAAAGAACGGTTGATTTGCAGAATCTGGGGAAGGTACTAACCCTAGAAACGCTTTTCTAAGAACATTTATAAATATGTGCAGTGCCTTTGGAACTAACATAACTTGAAATGTGTGTGCCCTGAGGTTACTGGGACAAGATCTCTTTCAAATCTCATACGGATTGGTCATTTCTGGCAAAAGAACGTTTTGGTCTAAACAGTGCAGACTCCATTCTGACTGCTTTGGGACAGCAGTTTTTATTATTTCACATTCCCATTGTGGCTTTTTTTTGGCCAGTACATTCCAGTCTCCTGGATGGCAGAATATTGTGCCCATTTCAGTTAGGTATACACAGCAGATTATATAGAAGATAGAAGGGAAGAAGACTTTTATATTCTAGAAAATTAAAGATGAGAAAATGAAGGTAGGACTAGGTACGGTGGCTCATGCCTATAGTCACAGCACTTTGGGAGGTTGAGAAAGGCAGACTGCTTGAGTCCAGGAGTTTAAGACCAGGCTGGGCAACATGAGAAAACCCAGTCTCTGCCAAAAATACACACACACAAATATTAGCCAAGTGTGTGGTGGCATGCTCCTGTATTCCCAGCTACTTGGGAGGCTGAGGTGGGAGAATCACCTCAGCCTGGGAAGACTAGGCTACAGCGAGTTGTGATTGTGCCACTGCACTCCAGCCTGAGTGACAGAGTGAGACTCTGTTTCAAAAAAAAAAAAAAAAAAAAAAAAAAAGCAACACCAAGTTGTGAACCCTTTTTTTATTTTTTTGCACTTTATAAAATCTCAGCTTCACGATAGCCCTGTGAAGTCAGACGACCTGATCTTTACTCAGATTGGAGAATGGAGATTTGGAGAAGTTAGGTAGCATAAGTAAGGTCCGGTGCTAGGAAGGGGGAAACTGGGTTTGGACCCCAGTCTGCATTGATTTTGAAGTTAGGGAAGGTCTTTGCTTTGAGCTGGGATGCTAATTCATCCCAAGTTAATTTTGAAGTTCCTAAAAACTAACATGAAAAGCTCTTCATAGTTTCGATTACTTATTAAATAGGCAAAATCACCTCCTCTCTTCCTTCATGTTTGGCATTGATAAAGAAGGGAGTAAAAGGCAAGCAACTAAAACTATTTTTTCATTGTTTTTTGTGTTTGTGTGTGCAATTCCCAAACAGATGCCCTGTGCTGGCCAAAATTACAGTTGCCAGTGAGTTTATTGTGTGTTTGAGTACTTCACCACATAGAGTAAGCCACAACTCCATGAAGTAGATCCTGTTATTTTCATGCGTGTTTCTTGATGTACACAGAGGTTAAGGGAACTGCCAGGGTCACCCAGCTGGTGAGTAGCAGAGCCTGGACTCAAAGCCACAGTCTGGCTCAGCAACAATGCAGAGTACCTTACTGTGCTGCTAAGATATTAATCTAGTAAATGTCTCTGGTAAAATTAGGGTTAAACTAAACAGGCTGTTGGATGCAAATGTTGTGTTCCTGTGGAGCCTTTGAACACTCCTAGTTGACTCAAAGTTCTCTCAAGAGTCTGAACCCTCAAATGTTTTGGGGGAGAGCCTGTAAACAAAACTCCTATCCTCACTGTCTATTATTAGTCTTCAGTACAATACCCCATTAACAACAAAACAAACGACTAATCTCTAGCCAAACACGTCAGAGAAGGCTGCCCCAAGTGCTTCTCATGTGTAATAAGTCTTTACCTTGATCCTCCTAAAAGTGGGCTGTAGCCTTGCCATTCTAGGGCAGGATATACGGACCTCTGGTTGATGTCTTGTCCTCCACTGACTGCCAGGGTTTATTTACCTCATCAAGCATCCGGCCTGCCTGGTCTTGTGGCCTCTTCCTCCCTCCCTGTTCTGTGTCCTCTGAAAGCACCCTGCCTGGTGGGAACAGCTGCCATCCCCGTACTTCTCAGGAAGCCTCTCATGGTGCTGGGAGGCCTCACTTCAGTGGGTGCATCTTGTTTCTGTGGGGAGCCCACTGTTGTTAAGAGGGGCTGGTTAACAGAAAGCTTCATCTGGGGCAC